GCTCCTGACGTAAGCCTTAGTGGCATCAGGATGGGTCAAATGCAGAGAACTAATATCCCTACGTGGACAATAAAGTGCACATTTACATATATCATTTTTCCCAGGGTCATTTAAAGGAATATCTATCTGCCTTTATCATCCCAGGAAAGTAGCTCATGGGTGAAAAAGGCTGGAGACACCTGGTATAGAGAAACACGTCTGGTCTTCCTATCTCGGTACATACAGTACATATGGTTCTCTGGGCACCTCAAGAGGCTATTGATTCCCTCTTCAGCCACTCCATCTCCGAACGAGTCTTTTCTCTCGCCACCAGCCATCATTGTTTAAGTATTCAACCCAAAGTGAACCTTCTCCAGCCTCTCTCTCTCTCTCTCTGTCGGTGAGTTCATAAGTCAATCTGCAGCTCATTACTCTGACACAGACCTCTGTAATGCAACATCTTGTGACCAGAACTCTTTCTTTGGAGTTCTGCTAAATCCAGGTTTTTCTGCTGCCACCTATTAATAGAGAGGAGCCCAAAAGCTTGAATTATACATGGCAACGCAGGAACAGACTGAAAGCATTTGGCTGGTCACTTTTTGGGTCCAGGACATTAAAAGTACTTCACCACAATGATAAGGATAGGAATTATTTAGAATGGTGCCTTTTTCCCCCAATCGTTTAATATAGTTGGTCCAATGGAGACACATTCACACTTTCTTATTGGCATTTCCATCTGGTCATGACTTTAATTTAATCATAATGTTGTTAAAAGTGTTGTATTCAAAGACTATGGACAAGATAAGATAAGATAGAATTTATTGATCTCACATTTGACATGGATAGAATCCCTCATATTGTGTAAAAGACAGAAGTGGGCAAACATGTTCTAAGTAGCTCTGAAACAGTTGTTGTTTTGTGCTTTTAACTGAGATGTTGCTGCAGTACAGTGTTCATGGTTTTACACGGGTCCAGACCAGAGCTGAGAGGATTCATGGTCCGAACCAAGTGGATCAGGTGAAAATCCAAAGGAGAAATGCTAACTTTTTGAAAAATGCTATTGAAGCATTTAGGATTTTACTTTGGACTAGAGCAGAGAAAATGTTCCGAACCAAGTGGCTACTCCACCTTTTGACCCGTCCTGCTCCACCCAGAGGGCACTCCACCTCTTCTACTGTGACCTGAAGTTGCTGATTATTAATATTTTTAACTTCTTAGAATGATCAATTTTATTTTTTATTTTGCTACTGGCAACCTGAATTTCTCCTACAGGGATCAATAAAGTATCTATCTATCTATATGTGTTAAAGGCAAAATTATAAAATATAAAATATAATGTAGGATATAATTATGTACAAAAACAAAGTGTCAAAAATTAGCATAATCTTACTATAACACTAAAGGCAGTGCATCTGGTCCGTCCAATGTACAGATTCAGATTCAGATTCAGATTCATTTATTATTTTGTCTCCTGAGGGAGAAATGTGTCTTGGAGCAAGGGGGGTCAGTAGCACCCACAGATACAGACAAAAAAACAAACAAAACAAAGACAATACACACAAAAACAGACAATACACACATAACATTCGTTGACACTAATACACAATCACCTGATGTTCTTCAGCAGCTTTATGGACTGAGGTACAAAAGAGTTCTTGAACCTGTTGCTTTTGCACAGTGGGATCCTGTACCTCCTCCCAGAATGCAGCAGTTTGTATTGCGAGTGGAGAACATGAGTGGAGTCTCTGATGATGTTGTAAAATATATGTACAATGTACAATGTACGTATATACATTGTACATTGTATATACATGTATATACAATGTAATATAACCAACAAACAAATATATGGACAAATTCAAGTATTTTTTTGTTTGTTTGAGCCATTCTGTGTTATTTTGTGTAATATTATGGCTGCTTATTGTCTAAGAAGAACTTTTTTGATTATATACAGTATATATTTTTTGCTTATATTTGTCTGCCATTATTTAAAATCCTTCCAGCATGTATGTACTGTGGTCAGTCAAAGCTTCACTAGTTCACTCTTTGTATAAATGTAAACAGGTGAAACTATGAAACTTATTTACTTCTGTGATTCAACATCAGTTGTGTAATATCGGATCTACACTCACTACATTCAAAGTGACGCACGTCTTTGTTTGTTACGTTTATTACAGTCCATTTTCAAACAATTAAAATCTTCCGAGAGATTTATTTGCGTTCTTTCAAGCTGTGAGCCAAAACCATCAACACTAGTTTCACATTGTGAGTTGAACTGCAAAAGTAAATGGACTTTTGAAGGGTATTCTAATTTCCCAAGATTCAGATGAATTTATTATCATTGTCTATATGGATTATCTGTATGTTGCTATGGTGTTTTCTCGATTCGGGGTGATCGGACAAAAAAAACAATTGATTTTGAGGAGTTCTTTTCCAACATAAAATGATAATAAATTGTATTTCTAATAGATACAAACCCTGCATACGATTTTTGAATAGAACCATGAACACTTTTGAGTTATAAAATCTGTATTGAGAATCTGATCAATTTAAATGAAGTCTAAAATCTCTACTTTACTCATTCCAAACCCTCACGTGAACAGAATATGCCACAGGATCAAAGCCTCAGTCAGAAGGTGATGTTACTGGAACCAGCTGACGTGACTGAAGGCCTCTGCAACGTGAGCTCCAGCTTCTTAAGGAACAAAAACACAAGAAATCTATTATATCTGCAACATCAGCCCATGACTCTTGCCTCCATCTGTGGCTTTTTGTGCCCCCCTGCTGGGTGAAAGTAGTACTGCCATGACATCATCTTCATCCAGCCACTGAACAGTATTTTATCGTTCACATTTAACTTTCAGTGTTTGTACCGAGGCTTAATTTTTTGTGTATCTATAATTAAGTGGTTTTATTTGCTCACTTATAACTATAAAACGTGTCTCACAAAGGTCTGCTACTAATACATAACAAATGTTCAACATGTAACATCCCATCAATCAGCAATACAATACAATAAAACTGATGTAAACTTGAATATTTAAAGTAAATAATATTTAAGTAAAAAAAAAACAAAAAAGAGGCTGGGCTTTGATGGGATCAGACTTTCACATGTGGCACCAGATAGAATCACTTTTGAGTTTCAGAAAGAAAAATGAATTCATGTATTACTGTATAAAACTTTGTAGGTGTCAAATAAGGAAAGAACAGGAGCATCAGGTTTATAGATATGTTTTATTCCAAAGTGTCCCAAATAGAACTCTTTCTCAATATCTTACAAACGTCTGGTACACAAACACACGCGGAGGAACAAGAGGAAGAGTGGACATACAACACTGCCTCCTTCTCCCTGGACAGACTCGAGTAAACAGACCTTGGACATGTCCCGGTGGAAACAGCTGAATGAAATCATGGACGTTGCTACAGTTCGCTGCGTAAGCCTAGATTCACTTCAGATCAATTTGAAATCCTTTAGACTTAGGCTTAGTGCAGTTTTCTTTCCTGAAAGATAATTGTTTGAATGTAGAACAATAATCATTCTTTTCAAATATCGATCAAATCAAAAGAATTTCCCAAGTGGAAGTCAGAGGACTGCTATTTGCATACGAGGCCATCATCGGCTGCCAGCGTCATGCGATGGTTGTTCTCCTCACTAACTTTAGTACTTCTTACTGTAAGAAAGAGCATTGCACTTTAGACAAAGTGGACATAGACGGGCCGTCTTCTCTAGAAGCAGCAGCTTGATTTGGAAAACGACAGACAAACAGAAAAATGACAAAGTTGATAACTCATCATATTTGACATTCACAAACGGATCATGATCAACACCCTCAAAAAAGACTTTAAAAGTGAATTTCAGGTGTTCAAATTAAACATGATGGAGCTCTACATTCAGGCACATTCGAATGCAGTATAGATCACTTCAATAATACCATAATTGTTGAACAGATTAAAAACAGGAGGATACAGTCTCTGAATGAAGTCGGCAGAATGAGGTAAAATGCTTTGTAACACTGTAAATATAGTTATTTTGAATGAAGTTCAAGTTGAACAACTGAAATTCATCCCTTTTCATAATGATCTTGAAGTCACCGAGTGTGAGGACACACTGGATAAAGGACATGATTGAACAAAAGCAGTGAAATGGTTGAAAGGCTTCAGACATAATGAAAAACAGATAACAGTCATCATTCTTTTAAAACACATCAGTGACATCTTGAGCATCAAAGTAAAACAGGACTTTAGACTCGTGCTTTGTTTTTGGGAAGACCAATTTGTGAATAAGGCTGGCTTTGATAATCTTACATTCATGGGAACATCACTTTGAAACTATTCTAAGGTACCGCCCCCTGCTGCAGCGTGGGTGCAACTGCAGCGCTGGGACACAAGACACATAGAACTTGGACCGTTTTACAATCAAGCGAAGGAAGGCACTGGAGAAATGCTAGTCTAAGTTAGCTCTGAAAGCTCTCGCGCTCCGTCTCGAAAAAGGTAAAAATCTAAAAATCTTGGACATCATTTGATTTTTGAAAAATAAAGTCTTGTCATACTTACAAAAGTCAGTTTTTGCATTTTTGACTCATCTTCGCAAGTACAGTTTACAAAAGGTAATCTGCTATAAAAAGAACAAATGCGTATGGCATTTTGGTTATCAAATAAGCTTTTGATTGACACTATTTGCACTAAAAAAATCGTAAGAATATGAAGACATGATTATTTACATTTTTGTGCGGCAAGAAAACACGTTGATGGCTGAAATGCTTTGTTGATCTGCTGAAAATAAGCAGGATATTTTGTAAAGATACTAAACCATGATAGTAACAGTTTAGTGGTTTGTTGTTGACGTATGACCCAAAGAAGAACACGAGACAACTTAAAAATATATACAAAGAACGAAAAGAAAGACTACGTGGGTCACAGTGTTTCCCATCTGCACAGGAGGAGTCTGTTGGTGGAGGTGGCGGGCGCTACATAGTACTTGTGGAAGTCCTGGTCCCTCTGAGGCTCAGGGGGGGAGGGGCTCAGGGCAGCTGCAGCCGGCTGTAGCGGACCCCTCGGCCCCACTGCACCCCTCTCCACGTGGGCAGCTGGTAGTTCCTGGGGACGGTGCCGCGGACGTTCTCCTCAAAGTACTGGAACATTCGGAACCACCAGACCCTGGAGAACGGGTTACTCTGAGACGTCTCTTTGAGCGACTGCAACACACCACACCACAGTCAGTACGGACACTTTATCAACACATGTTACTATGGAAACAGGAAATGTGGAAATACTATTATCTTATGCCTTGTATTCATAGCTCTGTCAGAATAATAAAAACCTCTTCTCAGCATGTTGTGGTCGAGGTATGGTTCAAAATCAGATTAATCAATTACATAACTAGTTGACAACTTTTTCAATAGATCGGTTGGTTGTGATGAATTGCAAAATGTATCTATGTCTTCATGGGAAAAAGTATGAATAATAGTAGATTCAGTTATTTGGTTCTTCTTTTTCAGATGGAGGTATGCTGTCGAAACATGTCTAGGTTAAAACATTGTAACTTTCGTCTGGTATAGGAAAACCAATAACGCAAAACAGTAGCGCAAATAACAAAGCAACACCATTTGAACACCGTGACAATCCTCATGAGGGCCGTTCACAACAGTTTTTCAAGTACACACATGCAAAGTCAAGTGATGTGGCCTGGACTAAAAACTGGACTAGAAAAAAAAGAGGAGGAAAAGGCGCTATCAGAAAACCTGATTCTATAGGGCCATAACAGGGTGATCCCTAACTTATGCACTAATCAATGAAAATGTGTTGGCTACAATATGGAACATGGCTTAAAGGTACTCTGTGCAATTTTTACAATGGCTCCAAATGATAAAAACATGTTAACCAATAATAAATGTGACCTTTTTAAGATTATTTACCTCCACCATGTTTTTTAATTTTTGTCATAGGTGTCAAAGCGTCATCTTGAAAATACAGTGGTTGATAAGGTACAAAATTGAGTTTGACCGGGAGTTGGGGACCGCTGTCAAAGACGACATATTGATCTCAATGCTAGATAGGAGTAAAAACTATACAGTGTACCTTTAACAAATGAACCATAAAGATGCAACTAAACATTGGGACTTTGATGAAAAAAGCACAAATATGTCCTGGTCCGGTGCACAGTGCTGACCTGCTGGTTGGCCATGGAGTGGTACCACCAGAAGAGGCGAGTCGTGATGAAGTAGGCCACCACCACGTCCACAGTGTAGTGGTCATGGGCCAGGAGGATACAGAAGATCCCCACTGCACTGAGCACCCAGCAGATCCAAGGGTACCACCAGAACCGCCTGGAAGAGTCTGCCCACATTAAACAAACGACAGTAAGTGTTTCTGCCACTAGATGTCACTGTTGTATAGGTATGAGATGTGTTAGTGTGAGGTAGACACTGGTGACACTAGGAAAGTGCTAATGTGTCGCTGAGAGAAATGGAAAATATTGACCACAACTCAGAATGGTGAGCAGGACTTCCTGTTTATGCAGATTGACCAGAACTGTCAGAGTTTACATCCCCAAACATGCCACATACACCTCGGAAAAGTCAAATATCATTCAAAAGTCAATTTACTTCTGTAAATGAATGTTCTATGAGTAAAATATGTATAGGACAGACTCCAGCAGAGTGAGAACTATCAAGTGTTAGGTTTTTATAATGATAATGTGTTCACAGCTTTAAAGCACCAAACAAAATCAGTCTACATTATAAAACTAAAAGATTTGAACTTTTGAATGATATTGTATTTCACCAGTTTGTCAGATTAAGAAAAGCGATATATTCAACGATTATGAAAATCCTTTAAATACTGGTTTGATCTACTCACATTCATTGATGAAGAGGTACGTTATGGTTAACATAACTGTATGGCCACTGTACAAATAATCTCCACACATTGTGTGGGAACCGGTTATGGAGAGACCACCTCCAGCGATCATCTTCATGACTCGTCTCATCTGTGCTTCCCAGTCCCCCAGGAGCTGAAACAGACACAAGCAGACATGTTCCACCATGTTCATGTGACATCACTCAGTCTGGGAAACAATAACAAACTGAGGGCAGAGAAACAAGTGTCAAGGGCTAAAAGAGCTACAATAAGATGACATAAATAAGGACATTATCAATAGGCACTGATCCAATAGTGAGAAAATAACTCTAAATAAATACAAATAACTCCATCAAAATAAAAGTGTGTCAGTTTGAGTAAGAGTGAATACTTTCTAGAAACAACAAGATTTTATCTTTATCTTTTCAAAATGTCAAGTGAAACATGTCGGTGTAATATCTCTCTGAGTCATGAATGCTTTTAAAACACATGACATGTTTAGAACAAAAGTTTGAGAATTGTTTTGTGGTTAATAGAAATAATCAAGATGTGAATTCCGGACAAATGCCTCCAGTGCAGCAGTTACACACAGACATGAAGGATTAAACATTCATGTATCGCAACAGCACTTTCCCACAGCTGTGAGACGACTGTCATGTTGGAGGATGACCTGATATAGAACACGTTCTGTCTCTCTAGGATGAGTGTGGGTAAATATACCATTTATGATTGGAACCATAGTAGTATTACTATTATTACTAAAATCACACATGTGATGCAGGACTGACCTTAGGAGAACATTTGAAGTGCATCCCAGGGACAGGCAGAGTGGTGATGTACATGGTTATACACCGATACATGTAAAGAGTGCCCACAATGAAGAAAAAGCGCCTGCCAATGATTGACCTGGAGGAGAACAGAAAAGATAATAGCCTCATTATGACCATTATAGACATTAAAGCCTCCATCTCCTCGGTCTAGAGTCTAATGGACCTACAGGACTGAACAGTTTCACTGACCTGTGCTTGAGTAGCAGCCACTGTACGAACCACAGTAAGACTAGCAGCATCCCGATGATCTCACAGATGGAGAAGGCCCACTCTTTCCTGTCGAACAGGTCGAAGAACTTATCAGGGAGAGGGGGAGTGTGCTCTTTAGGAGGGACCCTCTCGTGGACCACCGAGATGACCACAGTGGTGGTGACAAAGCACACCACTGCATAGATGAAGGACACTGCTGTTTTGGCCCACTCTGTGGGGAAGGAGGAGCGCACCTCTTTAGAGGGAATAGGAATCTGAACCATCTCCTTGTCGTAGTTCCTGAGGCCCAGAGTTCCATTCCGGTGGGGTTTGGTAGTCCCGTTAGGAAGCCCCCCAGCGTGCCCATTTGCGTGGCCATTTTTATGTGCCTCGATATGATTCTCGATGAGCAGCGTCTGCACTCGCTCCAGCAGCTGGTGGCCTCCGTCAGAAGAGACACGGGACAGGTGCGAGTTCCTGAAGTCCTCCTTGGAAAGCCTGAGCAGAGCAGGGCCGTCCGTCCCCTGGAGAGCTTCCTCATACTCCGACATGCCCTCTTCAGTCAGCCAGCGGGACACCTCCTCTGCTGTCCAGGAGCTTGCCTTCTTCATCCTGGGACAGAGGCTTCTGGAACACTGACACAGCGTCTATGGAGCAGCGCTGTCTCCTCTCCTGCTTTGGCACATGGTGAGTGTGACAGAGGAGCACGGCTGCCTCTTCAACTGACCACAGCGACAAAAGTGTGCTTCAGCTCATTGGTTTCCCCCTCCGAGTCCAGCCCTGTCAAAGACAAAAAGCGTGAGCCGTAGTACGGTGATGAAGAACACTCCCAGGGAAGACTGAATCATACTGAGGATATGACTATCGATAAGTCATTTCCTCAACACATCCCTCAGTAACAGCAACACATTTATTCCAAAACACAAAGCCTCTCCATTCCACAAACATTGGAGTATTTCGTTTCAACTGTATACATTAGAAAGCTAGGTTTTATCCCACAGCCAAAGGCAACAGAGAGACTGCACATGTGCTGCATATCTGGGGTTTGTTTATAGGGCGCGACGTCGGTGGTAGACACAGGGGGCTCTGCTTTTGTTCAGGGGGAGTGCGAGGTCCAGCCGGGAGTGAGCGTGTCTGATCTACTGCCTGGGTAAACTGAGAGAGCGAGGGGAACACAGGACAAGGAGGAACTCATAAATCAGAGAGGAGGTCAGCAGCAGAGACTGGCCCCGCCCCTCGGACAAGGGCAACGAGCCAGCGGCTAAAGCCACAGGCGGGAGGCCAGACAAACACTGCAACATTATCACAAGAGCTGTAATGTGTCTTTTGTATGTCTTTTGTTAATTATGTAAAACAAAACAGTTGGATGATTGAGTGTGTTTATAGTGAAAAGTGTTAATAATGCTTGCCATAAGAGTGCAGCCACATGGTGAAATGGATCAAGGCAAAACACAAAATAGATTAATAACAGGAGGTGGACTTTGGACCATGACTGGATTAATAAAGTCTTTAGAAAAACAATCCAACTGTAGTCGCCAGATTCCTGGGACACATACAGTAGCTCTTAACTGATTACAGATGTAATCCACCAACTGGAGATTATTCAAAAACAGAAGAAACGTATACAATTTAGGTGAAACAATTGTGTGGTGCTAATTTTTTGTTTGTATGTTAGTAACACAAAAGTAAAGGCTATCATAAACAATTATATTGATACTTAATTTATTGGACAATTATTATTTTGATTCATCAATTACACACAAGATTTATGGGATTTTGTTCAAACTTGACCACAAAGCTGTTGACGCCCCTGGAGGAACATTGGGTCGATTGATTCAAAGTATTTTTTTGTTTCACTCTGCAGTCATTATAGAATTATCCCACTCACAAAACCTCTTTGCGTGGTTAAGTCTATGCAAGTTTGTGATTAATCTATGAACTTACAAAACCAGCGGAAATTCACCTGAAACTGGCAACCCAAATGAAAGACATTCTGCTCTCTGATGGGCTGAAAAACCTTAAACATATAGTACATTAGTATTTCTAAATGTTTAAATCAAATATGACTTCTACATCCTGACCTATTATGTGGTGAAACTTTATTTAGATATTTTCATTTTAAATTATCTAAAATAAATTATCAACGGTTTGTGTCAAAGCATCCCTTACTTACTTACTACTATACTAATACTTATAGTCTATTGGGTGGTCCAAGTCATCATAAAGAATACAATCATAATCACATTCTGTATAAAATAATTCATAAAATGTGTTGTGACAGTGTTATTCAATGTTAGTTATGTTGCTCCACCGGAAGTAGCGTTGTTCTGACTAGAGAACATCAGCGTATTTGAGATTGAACAATAATTTGATAATAATAATAACAACAATAATACATTTTATTTATTAAGTGCCTTTCTGGACACTCAAGGTTGCCTCACATAAAAGTAAAAGGTGCATTTTAAAAACAGTTAAAATACAATACATCTTTGAGCCGAAACATCTTGACAAAGCTACGTGTGGCTCTGTATCTTTGGGAAAACAAGTCGAGGAAACTGGTACATTCCAGTAAACATGGACACGAGAACCAAATGCTGAAGAATCCCCTTGGAGACTGTTCTCTGGACAAGATATTGGTCAAACTGAATGTGTCTTCACTTTGTTTGGAAAAGAATAGGCCAAATAATTCCTTCTCTTCTCAAGAAACTTCAGCAAACTCTGTGGTAGTAAACATTATTCGCCCGGGTATTTGGCAGTGGGGCAGGTTGTCCGGGCAACAGAGAATGCATCAGGATCTCATCAGTCTGTATCCTCAGTGCTCTCTTCACAACACCGACTAAACGCTGTAGCCTCTGTGCACCGGACGCCACGTGGAGCGGGGTTTAGCTCGCCATGCCCCGTCCTGGCGGCGCTCTGACCCCCTCGCCCTCCGTTCCAAGGCTGTAACAACAACACGTGTGGCGGAGGGAGTCTGCTGACTAACAACGCTCACGTGAGAGAGACGCAAGCATATATAACTCCTATAAAAGACTAAATTGATAGAATCTGACCATTATAAAGCACAGTTAAAGGAGCATGTTAAAGGAGTATGTAAACATCTGGGAAAAAGTGGTACTGCACTCTCCCTGACTCAGGTTGCCAGATATGCAGACAAATCCAGCTGGGACCACAATAATTGAATAGAATTTTGTAAACAGCAAATCTATAACCAACACCTTTTTCACAAAGGCCCCAATGGAAATCCTTGTTTTGTCTTTAATGCATTGAGAATCATAACAGGACCTTTTGTAGTTCTGCAGCCACATGTTACTTTACCAGTGAGATTAGCTCGACGCGGTGAGTACTGGCAACCCGGATCCCAGACGTTCTGATTGGTAAAACGGTGGAGGTCGGGACATCGAAATGAAAACAACAACAAGATTTAGGGGCTGGAAAACTCGTTTTAAAATCCAAATATCTCGAGTGAACTACTGTTATCAGTGAAAGAAGTATTGGAAAAGAGCATGTTTTATTGATGCCTTTTGACAGATTAGGGCCATTTAATGATGACGAGACATGAAAATCTTACATATTGCTACTTTAAGGTTTACAAGAGTCCAACAAACAGCACACGGGAAGAGTGAGGCGGCATCATGAGGAAGGATAGTCAATTAACTCAAGCCCAGGTTTCAGCTATAAATAAGTAAGTGACCATATGTTGAATCTTAATGAATAGAAACATAATTATGTAATGGTGAGATGGTGTGTTTTTGCAAGAAAAAAAATTAATCCCTGCAAATTAACGTCCTCCTGGGCTTTAGAAAGATGTTTTGGGTTCCAGATATTATTCACTAGCAGTATTGATGAAAACATGCGACTATGACATGTTATACCTAAAAGGCTTTAATTTTTACAAGAGAACAATCATAATTTAATGTATTTTAAATATAAAAGGGTAAAACATTCGGTTATCAGTTAATTACTTTCCATCTTCTCTATATTTGATATAGATATGGAGTTTAAAATGTTATGATTGTTTACACCCTTAAAAAAAGCTTTTGTATTTTAAAGAACATAATAGATTATTACTCGATTCATTAAAGTTAATAATGGACAGAATACTCATAGCTCAAATAGTCCCAGTTTCCTGCACCAGCAGTAAACCTTTAAACAGAACTCAGCCCCATTACAACTACTACTACTAACTAACTAAAAGAAAAGTAATATGAGATTTCTGATAATAATTTCAATGAGCTCAAATGTGGAAACTATCTGTATTTAAAATAACATAACAAGTTTAAGGGTGGGAATTGGCGATAGACGATTCAATAGTATTCCGGTTTTGGGCCACAATTCAATATTATTACTGCGATTCATGTTCCTACCATTGTTCAAACGTATAAAATTGAGAAAAAAAGAAGAGTGCTCAACTCAAATGTCACATCTACTATAGTCTGCACATTAAACTATCCTTGAACATTCAGGAAACAGGACCTTTTGGATGTAATACTCAAATATAATAATTATTCGATTAAAAATCACAATACTTTGTTCTACTGTCTCTATTTAAGTGTGCAGCCAAACTATTGCGATACTGAACAGAAACAATTTTTGCCTCCACCACTAATAAAACATTACAGTAATTTCTTCACTGCACTACACTACATGCGCTAAAGACAATTAAATGTCAATGTCAGCTTTATTTGTATAGCTCGATTCCAACAACATCAGCTGCCCAACGTGCATAAAAACTCAATAAAAAAGACAAGGCATAAAAATGTGTCTTTAGACTAGATTTTAAAACCTCCAATGAAAACGCTACTCTACTGTACAGAGATAAACGATTCCACAGTTTGGGATAATAAAGTGACACCTACTGACATCGTCCCAGCGGCACCTCCCTCACCTTCCACAGACCCTGAATGAACCGTGTTTAATGGAGATAAAGACAAAGCCTCTGGCGCTGATCTGGCCCAGAACACAATTGAGAAAGATCAGAGATTAGCTGTCACTGAGTCAGCTGGTTGCACTGGACCTTTGCGCTCTCAATCAGCTTTTACAGTGAGGAAATAATCTCTCCCAATAAGGCCGTAAACGCAGCCTGGTTTACTTTCTGCGCCGGGCTGTGCTTTGGAAACCTTTAAATGTGCAGTATAAATAGACACAACGATAAATATCACAGTTAAACAAGACGTCACATGCTTCTGCTGCTGTAGAGCGGAACTATCAAACCTGCCCCTCTTTGCCTCGCCAACAGGGGGTATAGAGTGGGTATATAGTGTGTATGTATCTGAGTCTCTGCCCGTGTGTCTCTGTGTGCGTTTGTCTGTGTGTGTGCGTGTCTATGTCTGCGTGCATCTCTGTGTGCATGTGTCTCTGTGTGCATGTGTCTCTGTGTGTCTCTATGTGTGTGTGCGCGTGTGTATATGTCTGTGTGCGCGTGTCTCTGTGGCTCTGTGTATCTCTATGTGTGCGTGTGTCAGTGTGTGCGCGTGTGTCTATGTCTGTGTGCGTGTATCTCTGTGCCCGCGTGTTTCTGTATGTGTGTGCCTGTCTCTGTATCTCTGTGTGCATGTCTCTGTGTGTGCACGTGTCTCTGTGTGCGTGCATGTCTCTCTGTGTGCACGTGTGTCTCTCTGTGTGCACATGTGTCTCTCTGTGTGCACATGTGTCTCTCTGTGTGCACATGTGTCTCTCTGTGTGCACGTGTGTCTCTCTGTGTGCACGTGTGTCTCTCTGTGTGCACGTGTGTCTCTCTGTGTGCACGTGTGTCTCTCTGTGTGCACGTGTGTCTCTCTGTG